TAGACACGAAAGTACCATGATGATTTGTAGTTGGGAGTTGGTCAACACACTGAATACGACGATCCGATGTCGTAGAATTATACGAGCTGCATCTTTTGCCTTTATCTTCACAGACGGAACATGCTGGTTCAGACCACTCCAAATAGAAGTCATTTTCTTGAAATATTTTCCACGGAACAGATTTGAATTCATATGTTTTGGTACAAGAAGTCAAAGGAAGTGATTCCATCGAAAGTTTCGAATCAACGGCATAGAATTGGCACGTGGAATCGCCAAGGCAAGGAACTACGATGCTTAAATCTCTTCTCGACGGATCAGAACAATTGAACAGGGTATAGTTATCTAAGAACTTTATCAAGAAACGGAAAGGGGAAGCAGATAAGTTTAGAAGTGGTAACTTTTGCGGAAAACATTTTTCTTGGTCATAAACAAGAACTCTTTGAGATACATAGTTGATTTTCTTTACTATAACATTAACCGAGAACGGGAGCACGAGTAGGGTATTGTTTTTATGGTCGCAGAATAAATCGAAGCCCGGATAGCCACAACGTTGAGGCTGCCGATTTGTATGTCTGAAAGGAAACCGAATTATCGGGCCGTTGTTTCTGCATCTGATCGGCATACAATCATCGTCGTTTCCTAGTACTAGTACAACAAGTGGTAAGAACAAAAGAAAGTAAACGAAGGGAGACATCTGAATTATGAAGACTTGTGCATTTGCTATTACCGTTTATGTGCAAATTAACTAACAAGGTTGAACAAGTCTAGCATTCTTTTCTAGTAAACTGTGGGAGAGCAGAGCAGATTATATGGTAGGACTTAATTCATAGTATTAAACTGTTTTCTTTTCTAATAATTTTACTAATCAGGTCACATTCTTGACTAGTTCCTTAACAACTCTCCTCATCATAAATTCGTTTATTTTGCCACTTCAATGCTAGCATAAATCTAAAAGCAAATTACTTGAATACTTTGTGACGATGCTAAAATTAGATCACATGCAGTAGTTGCTTTAGACGGATAAAATTAATTAATTGGTTAGGGGTCATTTGATATACACCCCTACTATGGAAAATAAATAGGGATAAGTCCACCCCTAAATTCTTCTTTTGAGATACCCCCTACATAGGCAAAAGTACTATTGTGCCCTTATGTGCAATTTTTGTCCAACTGCATTCAGTATTTTTGCCAACTGCATTCAGCATTATGGCCAACTGTATTTAGCATTTTTGGACCTGCATTTATCATTTTTATAGATTTTTTTAATAAAAAATATAAATGTTTATTTTATTATTATTTTTTATATATACTGTATTTTTATTTTTTTTTATTTTATTTTATTATTTTTTTTTTTACTTTTTAGTTTTTTTTTAAATTTGTTTTTTTTTTTTTTAATTTTTTTCAATTTTTTGATAAATTTACGATACTGAAATTGACTACACATGACTATAGTATACTTCACATGACTATAGTATACCACAGTCATGTATAATTATAATTTGTATCTTGATATTATAAATCAACTAACCAACAAAAAATGAAAAAACACAATCACATGCATATATTCTTCAAACATGAACAAGCATTACGGCATTAAAAAACACATAGCATATATATAACTATATGCTACTACATGTGACTATAGTTATCTACAATTATCTATAGTTATATATATTGACATAAAGTCTAGACTATTGTCACATGAATCCAACTTCACAAGGCACTTTTCTGCATCTCGATCATAAAGTTATACAAATAGCAAAATCTGTGACAAAAAAAATACGAGTTAAAGAAAATGAAGAGCAAAATGGAACAGGCGAATTACATTACATGAAAAATACAAAAAAACAATGAAAAATAATTTATTGATAAATTTACTGTCCTGTAAACGGCTACAAATGACTATAGTATACTACAAGTTATATAGTCATGTATAGTTATATGTAATGTATAGTTATATGTAGTCATGACTATAGTTATCGATAGTTATCTATAGTCATCTATAGTTACATATAGTTATATATACGACTAAATGTGAATCAAATCCCACTTCTCCACACAACAACAACTTTGATCTATCAGTTGCAAAAGGAGTTGTTTTGAATGGTGAACACCATTTAAAAATCGGTTTCATGAAAACATAATGGAAAACGAAATATACAGTGTAAACCCTATAATTATTAGAACAAAGCACACAACTTTTAATCTCGATTATATGTTTCATCGAAATAATTGTTTTATTGCGACAGAAGAAACGGCAACTTGACCCTCATAAGAAGCCAACACAAAACCGAAAGCGCAAAAAAAAAAAAAAATTAACAGATTCACTAATCGACACAAAAATCAAACTATATACACTCATATATATATGGATCATGGATGCATCGATTTGTTTATTCAAAAGTTGCAGAAAATAAAATATTTCACCGGCCAAAAATAAATAAATAAATAAAATCTAGTCCTCTGTCATTTTCTGTAATAATAATAAAAAAAATCCCCATCAAACCAAGTGGAAAGTCACCTCCTCTGTAATTTGGCCATCAAACTCACGTACCAACAATTATCAAAATGTCAGCAATAATGACTTACAATTTTAGCTAACACGTTTCATCTTTGACGGCAAGGTTTAGGAGAGTGGCGAGTGCAGCTTCGTTGGCGGAGGCGGAGTCGCATCAGAACATATCCACGGCGCCGAAAGAGAGGTGAAAGAGAAACTAGGTGCCAATTCTTCTCTCGAAACATCTTCCCTTCTTACAGGGCCGGTCCGGCGTATTTTGGGGCCCTGGGCAAAACACAAAATTGTGCCCCGAAATAATACGGGGTTCGGTACCTAAAAAAAGAAAAATTTAATACAGGGAACATCCTCGATTTTTTTGAAAATATATATATGTAAAATATAAACATATTTAATAATAAAATTATAAAATTGGAACGATACATAAAAGATTAGCATGGCGCATGCACAAGGATGACACCCATAAATCGAAATACGGTCCAAATTTTTATGGTAATCAAGGTTTTTAACGAGGCATCATCATGAATTTTTCTTTTAGCCAAACAAATTTTATAAAATTATATTAAAAAAAATTATTTACTTTAACAAAAACTAGTTTAAAGTTAGGAAATAAAAAACCAATAATAAAAAAAAAAAATTAAAGTATAACTTATAGAAAAATAGAAACATAAAATGATACAGGGGTTCAGCCGAGAGAAAAATAAAATTGGAGTAAAAAGACATATATGGAGAAAGTGGGGGTAATAATTAAAAACTAAAAGAATTGGGTAAAAGCATTAGTGGGGACTGAGGAGTAGACACGGCCACGGGCCGGTTTTGGGTCCGGAACCGGCCCGTTGACGAACCGGCCCAACCCGTTGACCGGTGAACCGGCCCGTCGTCCCCGGGACGGGCCCGGTTCTATGAATTGGTGAACCGTGAACCGCCGGGCCGGCCCGGCGGTTCACCCAAATTTAAAAAAAAAAAAAAAATTCAAAAAAAATCAAAAAAATCAAAAAAAAGCAAAAAATGGCCAGTGAACCGGCCGTTATTTTCTATTTTTTGAATCCCCCCCCCCCCCCCCCCCCATTTTTTCTTATAAATACCCTTACACCCCATTTTTTCTTATAAAATTAAGTTAAAGTCATTTTATTTATTTCCTTTTGTTTTTTTCCTATTTAAAAGTAATTATTTTAATTTATTTATCCATTAAGTATTTTTTTTTAAATATATATATATATATATATATATCCAATTTTCCGGGCCGACCCGTGAACCGGCCCTGATAGGCCCGGAACCGGATTGAACCGGCGGCCCGACCCGGCCCACCGAACCGTGCATATTACGGGCCGGTTCCGGTTCTGGAAAAATTGAACCGTGAACCGGTATGACCGGCCCGTGGCCGTGTCTACTGAGGAGGGG